CCAGCGCCCCTCAGTGGTCCCCAGCCCCCAAGTGGCGCTTCCCCCACCGCGCTCCAGTGGCACACCTCCCGCCCCGAACGAAATTTTGTTTTGTTTTTCGCGACGCACCCCTCCCCCCCCCCAGTGGGCCCTCCCCAGCGCCCCCCAGTGGTCCCCAGCACCCCCGCTCAGCCCTCCCCCTTTCACCCTCTCTACCCGTCCCCTCTCACCTCCCGCGCCGCCGCCGATGCCGTCGCCGCCGTCGTCGTCGTCGTCGTCGGGGGCGCCGCTCCTCAACGCTCGGGTGTGAGCGAGCGAAACGGCTCGGGTTGGAAGTCTGGACTGTGGGAGAGGCCCCTATTCAAGTGGCGCATGGCCGGCCCCTGAGAATACACCCGACAGACTGTGTGCAAAACGCCTGCCGTAGACAAGCGTTCCCAGCACAAGGCCGCAACGCACTTTGCACCGCGAGCCTCCAACAGCTAGGTCACCAGAGTAATTTCTTCCGGCCCTCCTTGGACCCTGGAGGCCTCCTCTTGGAACCCTCTGTAGGCTTCTCGGGTGTCTGTTGGAGGCTCCGCGGGAACCTGTTAAAGGCCTTTGGGTCCATCTTGCGGGGTGCGCCCCTTGACGTCTCTTCGAGCTCGCCCTCTGAACCTCCTCTTGCGGCCCTGTTTGTTCACTCCTTCTGCGATGTCTGGCCCCCTCTTCCCCCCCTCCTCCTCCACCTCCTCCTCCTCCCCCTTCCTTTTTGTGCAAGAGCCATGGCACACGTGCCACTTGTTTCTATTTCGCGCGCGCGGGGCGGCTCCTGGGGGTCCCCGGACGAAAAGTATCCCGGGTGGTCCGACCCAGAAATGATTTTTCCTTCTGGGCGCGGCTTTCAGGCGCCCCAGAGCGCTCCTAGAGGGCCCCAAGAATCCCCAAGAGGGCTCCGAGTCGCCGATCGATCGGTCCAAGACGCCCAAGACAGCCTCCAGACGGCCGCAGACGCCCCCAAGACGCCCAAAGAGGCCTCGAAGAAGCGTTTCAAGAGGGCCCCAGGAGGCAAACACCATTGATTTCCCTTCGATTTTTAAAGGATTTTGGCGTGCTCATTTGTTCGGCTCCCTGATGTATCGCCCAAGAGGCCCCAAGAGAGCCCCAAGAGGGCTCAAGAGGGCCCAAGACAGTCCAAGAGGGCCCCAAAATGGCCCCAGAAGCGCCCAAGATCACCCAAGAGGGCCCCAAGACGGCCAAAAAAGGGGAGCCCGCACCACCAAGTCGAGTCTTCCGCCCCAAGAGGCCCTCAGGAGGCCCCAGTATTAAATAAGACGAAGCCAGGACGAGGAGAAAACCGGGTGAGGATAAATAGAGAATCTCTGAGATGCGGCGGCTTTGGAGGATGCCTCGCGAACCGCGGCCTTCTCAGAACGTTCTGGAACGCTTTGGAACGGATTGATCCTCGTCGTAGCCCTGTCTGGCTGAGCCCCATTTCCTGGCGCGCGGAACGCGCCACTGGCGGCGCTGAGCGCCCTGCCAGGGGGGCCCAACGCTGATCCAGGAGATCCGCGCGGAGCTCCGACAGTTTATGTTTCTGCCGTTTCTTCTTTCATGAGAGGCTTTTCGGGAGCGGCCAAGAGGGGTGTGTGCAAGAGGGGGGGTGCAAATCGTGACCGGCGGCATGTGCGCGGCCCAGCGGGGAGGCCAGGGACGTAATGAAATAAGAAGAGGCGCCATGAAATCTGGGGAGATATCATGCCCCCGCCATGATATCCACCCCCCCCTAGTCATCGCCCCCCTCTTTTCCGCCCCCGAGCTTTATTCAGCTGGAATAAGTCCACACGGAGACCGAGCACTCCGTGTGGACTCACTCCGTATGGACTCAACCTCCTATCAGGATGAAGCCGTGTCCAGACGGAACACGCCCGGACGGAGACCGAGCACGCCGCGTGGACGTACTCCGTATGTACTGGGCCTCCACCGATTCTTCTTCTTCTTCTCCTCCTCCTCCCGTGCATGGACAATCTATCCGAACCCTGCGACACAAGATGTCCCCCGGACCCCCAAATCAATATTGGGGAGATGTGGCAATGAAGGGGGGCTTGGGTGGACAATAATATTCGAACGCCCGAAGCAACACCCATTCCGATCTCAACATTGAAGTGGGGTTTGCATTGGGTTCGAATATATTGTCCATGTGCTGTCCTCCTCCTTCTTATCGATCTCCTTCTTCTTGCTCGAAGAGCACCGCCCGTCCTCTGCCCGACGACTGCCGGGCGAGCGCCCTCCCCTCCGCGGCGAGGCGGGGGAAGCTCCTCCCGCGGCGGGCCGGGGCCAGCCGAGGCGCGGACGGCGCGCCTCACGCCGCGGACGGCGCGGCCACGCGCGCGGGCGCCGCCGGCGCCGCCGCGGGCGCCGCCGAGCTGGAGGCGGCGCCTCGACGGGAGGGGGGGAGGGTCGGGCTCCATCGCCGGCCTCCTCCGCACGATCGTCCTCAGCGCGCTCCACTGCCTCTCCTTCCTTCCTTCCTTCCTTCCTTCCTTCCTTCTCTCCCCCTCGTCCTCCTCCTCGTCCCCTTCACCTGCATACTCGATCTCGACCATCAGCACCGCCATTGTGGACAGCACCGGGGGATCGCCGACGTCGTCGTCAGTGCCATCGCCATCATTGATGGCATCACCATCATCGTCCTCATCCCCATCATCAACATTACCAAGATCGCATCCTCCTTCTCATCAACATCACCATCCTCCTCATCGTTATCGCTTCTACCATCACCACGCTCGAGGGCTCGAGGGCCTCGACACTAGATGGGGGCTGGGGGCAACAGTGCCCCAGAGCCACGTCTCGGAGCGCCCCCACCTTTGCAGTTCCCCCCCCCTCCCTCTCCGCCACCTTTTCCCCCTCCCTCCCTCCCTACCTCTCCCCTCCCTCCCTTTCCCCCTCCCTCCCTCTCCCTCCCTTTCCCCCTCCCTCCCTCTCCCCTCCGCACCTTTCCCCCTCCCTCCCTCTCCTCCCTCCCTTTCCCCCTCCCTCCCTCTCCCCGCTCCTTTCTCCCTCGCCCCTCTCCCCTCTCCCCCTTTTCCCCCTGCCCCTTGCGCCCCCTCCTCTCCCCCTCCCTTTCCCCGCCCCCCCCCCCCCTCCTCCTTTTCGGGGGGGGCAGAGGTGTGGCAGGGGAGGAGGCGGGATGGAGGAAGCTCGCTCCGAATGCCCCCCCCCCCCCCCCCCTAGGAAGAAGGACCTGTGAGCATCCAGGCTGGTTCGCTCCCCGATGCGCCCCCCTCTTCGACCCCCCCCCCCTCAGGCAGGGCAGGCGCGCGCTTGCTCGCGCGGCAGGGGCGCCGCCTCCCATCAGGATGCGCATCGCCTCCTCCTCGTCGCGCGGCGCCGCGGGGCGCCGCGCGGCGGCGGCGGCGGCGGGAGAGCGCCGCAGAACCACGAGGGGTGCGGGGAGGATGGGGGGGGAGGAGGTTTCTGGTGAGCTCGAGGGGGAAGGGGGGGAGGGGGAATGGGGGGGGGGTTTTGGTGAGGTTCGAGTTTTCTGGTGGGCTCCAGGGGCAATGGGGGTGATGGAGAGGAAGGGGAGGCGGAACGGGGAGGCGGACGAGGACGACGACGACGACGTGAAAGAGGAGGAGGAGGGGCCTCAGGAGGGCGCCACGGGCTCCTCAGAGCGTTCAGGAACGCTATGAGAGCGTGCCGAACGCTATGGAACGATTTTATCCTCCTCCTAGGCCTGTCTGGTCAGGTGCTTGTGTCGTCATCCTCGTCGTCGTCGTCGTCCTCCGTCGTCGTCCTCGTCGTCGTCGTCGTCGTCGGTCGTCGTCGAGGAGGCGCAGGCGCGTGCGCGCGCGGGCGTCGGGGCTCCCGGCCAGGGGGCCGCACGCGTCGACGCCGCTGGCGTCTGAGGGACGGCGCTTGGCGCGGGGCGCGGGCGCTGCCGCCTCGACTCCCCTCCGGGTGGGCCGCGGGCGCCCCGGCTGGGTCGCGACCGCGGGCTCGCTGGCACCCCGCACTCTCACGGGCCGTGCTGCACTCTGCGGGGTGCTCCGCGCCGCGCCTCCTCCACGGCCAACCTGGCCAGGGCGTGCCCTCTCACCGTGAAGCGACCCAAGGACACACGAACACATCCTTTTGCGTCGGCGGCCAGGCAGAGGGACTGCGCTGGCGAGGCTAGACGGGGAGGCGAATTCAGCCACAATGCAGGAGGGAGCGGGAATGACGACGTGGCGACGGCCGAGGAGGGATGACACACACACACACACACAAATACATACACTGAACTCCCAAAGTTCCCAATATTTCAAAATATTTTCGGGGGTCTCGTCTTCCCCCCCCACTTCCCATATTTTCCCGTATCTTCCTGGGGGTCGGCGATTCCTTGTGTCAGTGTGCTTTTTCCCTTCCTGACACCGGGCAGGCGGCGAAGCGCCAATTCCACCCCCCGCGGTGCCCCGGCCGCGCGCCTCGCAGGAGAGCAGGCCGTCGCTGTTGGCGTCGCCCTCGTCGCCCTCTGGACCGCTTCCGGCGGCGAGGCTTTGCCCTCGACTCAGCCGTTAGCCCAGTGGCCGTGTCGACCGCCGCGGTGCCCTCGCCGCCCTCTGCACCGCTTCCGGCGGCGAGGCTCTGCTCTCGGCTCTGCTCTCGGCTCAGCCGTTGGCTCAGTGGCCGTATCCACCGCCGCGGTGCCCTCGCCGCCCTCTGGACCGCTTCCGGCGGCGAGGCTCTGCCCTCGGCTTTGTTACGTTGTTGTTGTTTGTAATGTTGTTGTTGTTGCTGTTGTTGTTGTTGTTGTTGTTGTTGTTGTTGTTGTTGTTGTTGCTGTAGTAGTAGTAGTAGTAGTAGTTGTTGTTGTTGCTGCTGTCGTCGTCGTCGTCGTCGTCGTCGTCGTCGTCGTCCTCGTCGTCGTCGTCGTCGTCGTCGTCGTTGTCGTTGTCGTCGTTGATGTTGTTGTTGTTGTTGTTGTTGTTGTTGTTGTTGTTGTTTTTTGTTGTTGTTGTTGTTTGTTGTTGTTGTTGTTGCTGCTGTTGCTGTTGCTGTTGTTGTTGTTGTTGTTGTTGTTGAACATTATTTATTCTAAAGAATAATTATTGTTGGGCCCCCTGGTGCGCGCCCCCCCTGCGCCGCCTAGGCCGCAGCTACATTTTCATCATTTTCGTGAGGAAGCCTCAGAAAAGAGGGTGTGTACAGGATCCGGTTGTTTTGTTGTAATCCGCTTTCCCTTGCAAAAAACAATAGAAAATGACATTTCTTGTTCTAATATAATCAAATTTCAAGAATCCCTTGCAAAAAATAAGGTAAAGTGGACATTCGCGCGCGCAAGACGAAATCCTTCCAAAACCTTAGTGTTCGCAGCGATTTTAACATAAAAACATCAAAAAACCAATGGTTTTTCAACAAAAAATTGTCAAAATCTCATCCCGCGCGCTCTTGCGGATTCGTAGGAAACCCAACACTTTTTAAACATTTCTGTCAAACGGGCTTTTGCGAGCAACTTTTTCGAACTTCTGCGACAACGGTTGCGCACCTGCCAGGGCCATCATCCCTGTCAAATAATACCATGCGGGACACATGTACCATATGCATCATATGCAACAAATGTTCTGTGGAAGGCTTAACAACTTCTGTGGGTTAACAAGGCTTAACAACTTCTGTGGGTGTACGAACGTAGGCTTAACAACTTCTGTGGGTGTGTACTCCACGCCAGTGTAGTAGCCACGGTCGTCCGCAGGCCACGAAGTGAAGTGTCCGAACGTCATAGGGCGGGAAGCTGGGTGTGGGTGGTGGCGAAGAGTCGTGTGGATATTTGGTAGAGCTTGCACTGCCCCCCCACAAAGTGGGGGTATTGGCTGGCGTCGCATGAAAACCCTGGCACTGGTGAGAACACTGAGCGTTCGGGTAAAGTGATTGTTGTTGTTGTTGTTGTTGTTGAACATTAATTACTTCTAAAGAATAATTATTGTTGGGGCCCCTGGTGCGCGCCCCCCCTGCGCCGCCTAGGCCGCAGCTACATTTTCATCATTTTCGTGAGGAAGCCTCAGGTAATTCGATGTGATCAAGATCCGGTTGTTTTGTTCCCCCCCGCTTTCCCTTGCAAAAAACACTATAAAATGACATTTCTTGTTCTAATATAATCAAATTTCAAGAATCCCTTGCAAAAAATAAGGTAAAGTGGACATTCGCGCGCGCAAGACGAAATCCTTCCAAAACCTTAGTGTTCGGAGCGATTTTAACATAAAAACATCAAAAAACCAATGGTTTTTCAACAAAAAAAAAGTCAAAATCTCATCCCGCGCGCTCTTGCGGATTCGTAGGAAACCCAACACTTTTTAAACATTTCTGTCAAACGGGCTTTTGCGAGCAACTTTTTCGAACTTCTGCGACAACGGTTGCGCACCTGCCAGGGCCATCATCCCTGTCAAATAATACCATGCGGGACACATTCGTTTTTTCTTCGCGCGCGCACGCCGAAATCTCCAAAAACCATTGGGTTCTTAAGAATTTGCCACCGCGCTTAAAACAACATTCCTGTGGTTCAAACACCTTACGACTTTTTTTAACAAGTTCTGTGGGTGTGTACCCCACGCCAGTGTAGTAGCCACGGTCGTCCGCACGCCACGAAGTGAAGTGTCCCAACGTCATAGGGCGGGAAGCTGGGTTTGGGTGGTCGCGAAGAGTCGTTTGGATATTTGGTAGAGCTTGTAATGCCCCCCCACGAAGTGGGGGTATTGCCTGGTGTCGTATGAAAACCCTGGCACTGGGGAGAACACCACGCGTTCGGGTAAAATGATTGTTGTTGTTGTTGTTGTTGTTGTTGTTGTTGTTGTTGTTGTTGTTTGTTGTTTGTTGTTGCTGTTATTGAATGTTAATTCAAAAAAATGTTATTGTTGGACACCTTAAAGGCGCTGGCACTCTCGCCGAGGCGCCGGCTACATTTTCATTGAAAATGAGGCTCGCGCTCGAGCGGTTTGGGGACCGCCAAAACCGGCCCCCCAACAGCAACAACAACAACAATAACAATAACAATAACAAGAACAATAACAAGAACAATAACAACAACAACAACAACAACAACGCTCCCGCTCCAGACTTCCTCCTTTTTACTCAAGGCTGGTTTTCTTGCTCGCCACCGAAAGCCGCCGTCCTAACAAAGCCAGCGCTGCCGCTCGAGACTTCCTCCCGTTTTACCTTGGACTGGCGCGCCAGTCTTTCTCTCATCGGCGCCGCCCCCAGCAAAAACAACGCTTCCGCTCGGGACTTCCTCCCTTTTTTACCCATGGCGGTGCTCCTCCTCGCCGCCGAAAACCGCCGCCCCGACAAAACCAGCGCTCCCGCCTGAGACTCCCTTCCGTTCTACGCTGGGCCGGCGCCCAACTCTCTTTTTGAGTTGGCGACGCTCCCAGCAAGAACGACGCTCCTGCTCGAGGCCTCCCCTCGTTTTCCTGAAGACGGTGCTGCTCCTCGCCGCCGACAGCCCCCGTCTGGGCAGAACCCTTCTTACTCAAGGCGGTGTTCCTCCTTCTTCCCTTCTTACTCAAGGCGGTGTTCCTCCTTCTTCTTCCTCCTTCTTCCCTTCTTCCCTTCTTACTCAAGGCTCCCGCTCGATGCTTTTCCTCCCTTCTTGCTCCAGGCGGTGTTCCTCCTCGCCGCCGCGAACCGCCGCCCCGACAGAACCGGCGCTCCCGCCCGAGACTTCCTTCCGTTCTACGCCGGACTGGGGCCCTCCTCTCTTTCGAATTGGCGCTGCTCCCAGCAAGAGCAGCGCTCCCGCTCGAGGTTTCCTCTCTTTTTCCTCGGGATGGTGCTGCTCCTCGCCGCCGACGGCCCCCCTCCCGAAAAAACCACGGCTCCCGCTCGATGCTTCCTCCCTTCTTACTCAAGGCGGTGTTCCTCCTCGCCGCCGAAAGCCGCCGTCCCAACAAAAGCAGCGCTCCCGCTCGAGACTTCGTTTTGTTTTACGCTGGACTAGCGCCCTACTCTCTTCAGCATTGGCGCCGCTCCCAACAACAACAGCAGCCCTGCTCGAGAATTCCTCCCTTTCTGTTCAGGGCCAGGTCCTTGCCTCACCGCCGACAACCCCCATTCCCACCAAGACAATCCCGTCGTTCGATACTTCCTTGTGCTTTACCCTTCGCTGGGGTTTCACTGGCGGTCTCGTATCGGCGCAGCAAGGCGCGGGCATGTGTTTTCGAGGCGGGATATGTTGAAATTCCTCGGAGGAGGTGTTTGCAAGACCTTATTGGGCGGGATATCTGGGTATGGGAATAACAGACCCCGCTACAGAACAGGAATCCCCAATTACGTGGATGGTTGTCATGATGGTCGCATGCTTCGTGTGGAAACATCGCGCACGAGGTAACATGATAGTCGTTGTTGTTGTTGTTGCTGTTGCTGTTGTTGTTGTTGTTGTTGTTGTTGTTGTTGTTGTTGTTGTTGTTGTTGTTGACACTTCTGGGGCCCGTGGGGGGCCCAAGGAACCCGAAAATGGCGACAAACCTCAGGACCCGTTTCCCCAAGGACCCGCTTCTAGAGGAATAGAAAACCACATAAATATAAACTTTTGGAGGTCCGCGCGCATTTCTTGGATCCGCGCCAGGCCCCCCTCCCCGGCGCGCGGAGCGCGCCCGGGGCGGCGCCGCCAGGGGGGCCCAGCGCCGATCCAAGACATCCGCGCGGAGCGCCAACAAAACTATGTTCATGGTGTTTTTTTCTTCTACTCGGGGCGTGACCCGTCCCCCTGAGGGGCTCGCTCCCTCGGCCCCCTCTCTTTCGGCCGCGTCCTCCGCCTCCCCCCCCCTGCATGGTGGCACACACACACTTCGCTCCAACGGCACCCCCGTCTACGCCTTTCCGCTGGCGCAGACGACCCCTGCCTCGCTGCAGACGCAAACACAATTTATGTGCTGTCTTTTCGAGCTTCCCCCATGGCGATTGATGACCTGCTTCGAGGTGCATGGTTTCCCCCAGGCCATAGGCGACCCGAGGAGGAGGAGGAGGAGGAGGAGGAGGAGGAGGAGGAGGAGGAGGAGGAAACAAATCGAGACGGAAGGATCGACCGAGGCACGCAGGGCCGGGCCCCAAGAGAGTACGATGGATGACCCCTACAATGCTGATGTCCCCCTCGCATTGCCTGCTCCAAACTGGCGCGCCCGCAAATCGCGTCCTCGCTCGGGCCCGAGTGGGTCCCGTGATAAGGAGGAGGCGCTCGCGGCGTACCCTGGTCGCTGCGCGCTGGATGCCGATCCTTGCGCAACTGCACCTGGTCAATCCCGAAGATCTCGCCGTCGCGGCTGGCCCTGTACGGTCGGACCAAGAACATGACACCCTCCGCTGGCTAAACTGAAGAACATTCGAGGGTGGCCCCCCCCCAGGATGCACAAGAACATCCAACAAATACGAATAGCTTTAGGGTGCCCTCCCCGAACCGACCTCGATCTCGTACCCCGGTCCAATCGTAGCTGCACCTGGTCGATCCCGAGATGCTTGCCGTCGCGGCTCGCCCGGCAGTCCCAGAGGCCAGCGGGCACGTTCGCCATCGCGCCGCGCCGCCCCACGACTCCTTGGGTGGCGCCTTTTTTGACCTCCTCGCGGCGCACTGCGAGGCCCCGAAGGCCGTCGTCGCGCTGCGTCGGCGATCCGCGGTACGGCAAGTTCGTGTCATGACGACCCTGGCGTTGGTTTCTGACACCGCGCGGATCGTTCAAGCTTGAATGATCGGCGGCTTTCCGATCGCCAGATCGTTCCATACATGGGCCGATCCCGGGCCACTGGCGGCGTTCAACCTTGAACGCACCTGGCCGGGTCGCCCGCCAGTCGACACGACGCGGACCTACTGTATCTCCGTGTCCTGCTCGCGGCCGCCCAGACTCAAGCACGCACGAGGCGATCGCGCACACCACCGCCTCGGGCAGCGGTCGCCGAGCACCGGTAGGCGGGCAGACCATGGCCGTGCTCCCGTCGAGCGCGCAGAGCAGCTGCCTCGGCCGAGCGGCGGGGCACGCGCCTCCTTCGGGGGGGCGTGGCTGCCAACTTGCGCCACTGTCACCGCCAGTGGTGGGCTCCTGAAAGGCACGGCGGATGGGGGGGGGACAAGCGCATCCGATCGAGACCTCGCGGCTGCCCTGGGGGGCCAGCGCGCTCCAGCGACGCACACCCTCGGAACTCGCCGCAAGCGCCCGACATCCTCGAGAGATCCTGTCCTTCCTCCTCCTCCTCCTCCTCCTCCTCCTCCTCCTCCTCCTCCTCCTCCCCCTCCCCCCCCTCCTCCTCCTCCTCCTCCTCCTTCTCCTCCTTGTCCTGCTCCGCTTCCTCGTCGTCCTCGAGGCTCGGAAAGAGGAGGGGGCAAGCAGCGGGGGCGTCTCCTCCTCCTGCTTCGAGGCGTCCGCGTAGAGGGCCTGCCACAGCGCGGGGGGCGGGCGGGCGGAGGGCAGCAGGAGGAGGAGGAGGAGGAGGAGGAGGAGGAGGAGGAAGAGAAGGAGGAGGGGGAGGAGGAGGAGGAGGAGGAGGAGGAGGAGGAGGAGGAGGAGGATGAGGAGGAGGAGGAAGAGGAGGGGTGAGGGCAAACCCTTCGCATTCTCCTCTCCTCTCCTCTCCTCTGATCACCTCTCCACTTCACACCTTCGACTTGCTCTCATCTCATCCTTTTTCTTCCTCTAATCCTCTCCATTCTGCTCTTCTCCCCTCGTCTCGCTCACTCGATCCCCTCCTCCTGCGTTTCCCCTTTCCCGAAATCCTCCTCCTCCTCCTCCTCCTCCTGCTGTTGGTCTTCTTCAGCTTCCTCCGCTTCTCTTCTCATCTCTTTCCCCTGTCCCCTCCCCTCGTCTACTCTTCCCGATCATTATTTCCTCCTTTCCTGCTCCTCCGCCAGTTCTTCACTCTTCTCGTCATTTCTTATATTATAGCGTCTTCATTCTTTCCTATAGTCATCGCTCGCCTCTGCTCCAGCCAACCTTCATCATCTCGTCAGCCCTCTCCTCTTATCACCCTTTTCCCCCTCCTCCTCCTCCTCCTCCTCCTCCTCCTCGTCCCCTCTTCTCATGTCTTATCCTCCCACTCTATCCAATTCTGCCCAGGTCTCAACTCCTTTCTTCTTTTCTACTCCTTCTGGTTTCATGCGCCACCGTGCCTTGTGCACGCTGAGGCGTGGAAAGATTGAAGGGGCCCTGGGACACACAAATAACAGGATTTCCCACATTTTCCTACATTTTCTGGGTTTTTGTCTTCCCCCCACGTCCCATATTTTCCAATCTTTTCCTGGGGATCGGCGATTCATTGTGTCTGCGTGTTTTTCCCCTCTGGAAAGAGGTCAAGAGCTGCCTGGCAGGGTTCCTGTAGTCTCTCGCTGCACGTCCCCGCGTGCACCACCCCCACTCCTGGGCTTCCCTGGGCGACCAGCACGCCCCCATGGCGCTCCCCAGGGCGCCCGAGACACCAAGGGTGGCCTCCAAGACGGACCTGGCGTGAACCACGGCCGCCAAGATGGTCCTCCACGACGGCCTCGGGTGGCCCCGGGGCGGCCCCAAAGGCCTTCGATGTGGCCCAAGAGGGCCCCACTTTGGCCTCCAATGAATCCCGACATGGCCAAACTCATAGTTTCAGTCGGTTCCCCCCCCCCCCAACGACCCCTGCATACTTTCAACGCAACCGCAAGGCGTCCAAAGAGGGCCCCCAAACTGGCAATAGAGGCCCCGAGATGCCTCTCAGAGGTACCAGGGAACCACCTGCACGAGGCTCCAATAAGGTCCCAAGAACCCTCCTCTTCCCCCACCTCCCCCTCCTCGTCCTCCTTCTTGTCCCCTTCTCCCCAAAAGGTTTCAACGACGGCTGGGGGAATGCATGACTTAAAGCTTGGCAAGACTCCGTTTCAACGTTTGCCCACGCAGGCGCTTCCAAAAAGCAGAGGGCGGCGATTGTTCGCCGTCGGCGTCTTCGATCCGCCCCCCCCCCTTGTTTGCGAGACGGGTGTTTGGCGTACCAGATGTTTCAACGATTCTTGGCTCTGTCATTTAGGAATTCTGTATGGGAAGAGTTGGCCGAAGGGCCGATCCCCTCTCGAATGTTCGTCTATAAAGGCGGCAACGATGCGTGACGGACTATGATGAATATTCGACCCTTCTCCACTGCCCCAAAGGCAGCGCGCACTTGGCAATGCCTGTGAACCGAAAGGGGCAACGGTTGCAGAGAAGAAGAGGATAGGTATGGGGGTTCCATTACCCCCCCCCGCCAGAAACCCGACCCGCGAGACGCAAGGGCGAAACGCGAAGGACGGAGTCCGGGAACGAAGGAACAACCCCCTGACCTTACCAGACTGTCCGCTGCCTTGTGCAGCAAAACGGGACTGCCAGTCACGACGCCTCCCTGTCCACCCGCGGTGCAAACCCCACAAAACGGGGGAAGGGAGCCAAGTGGCTCGCGTGGGCACTCTCGTCGCTCGGCAAACCCGAGTCGCACGGACGCATGCCCACTGCGGAAAGCGGACGCGGCGGTAGCCATGCCATGACGCGCCAACCTTCGGGACACCTCACCAGGGCGCGCAGATGCCAAACGCAGTTTTGCGGCGCGAGCCGTCCGAGCTGGTGCTTGCCCCTGCTGCAGTGGGCAAGGCCGAGCGCGCGGAGTCTCAATTCTTCAACAGGCAGCGCCACAGATGTTGCCGCTCGGCGATGTGGTCGCGGCGCGAGTGCACGGACTGGATTGCCCCACCCATTGAGATTATCTCTTCCGAGAGTACTGCGGCGACGTGCCAGATGCGCGCATCCCGCGGCGATGCAACAACAGCATGCCAAAGTGTATGCGCGCAATCGCGCCTCAATCATCAGCCACTTCTTGATCAATGTTATCATTCAAGGCATCTTGCAGTGAATACACAGCGAGTAGAAGTAATTCCAGTCTCGTTGTGAGCTCTCCATTCTGTCTTGCAGCTCAGTGTGTAGTATCAGTGCTTGCACAACAATGATCGTTACTCGCATTTGGTTCTGTAACTCATACGCGCTAGTACTACTATTCAACCACCGATCTCCATGTACAGTGGGGATCTCACAAAGTGTGTTCTGCTGTCGTCGCAGAACCCATCCCGTCAGCATGCGCGACAATATTACACATCGGCGTGCGACACTGGGGAAGTACAAGCACCGGCGCGTGCCGCAGGCCATCCCCATGACTGCCGAGGCATCCACCTGTGATGTCTGGGGAGGTATAAGTCAGGGGAGTGCTGCAGGCGTCTATAACGGTTGTCGACATGTTCTTGCTGCTCACTGGCAAAATTGCTGGCCAAGATGTATCGGAATCGTAGTTGCAACGCTAGCATTGGCCCGCAGGGCCACGGATCCTGGCAGAATCGGACTTGAAGCGGTAGTCGCCGTGCCTGGGGTCCGTGTATACCCATCCATTCCACTCCTCGCTCCTGTACTTTGTGCCCCTGCTCTGCCTCCCTCGCAGTGCGCGTCGGAGGCGCAGTCGGGGCACGGTGGCCTGAGTGCGGGAGAGAGACTGTCGGCGCCTGCGCAGCCCTTTTCGGCGGAAGCGGATTGGGGGAAGCAGCTGCAGAACGCCGGGGCCACTGTGCGCGGGAATGGGGTATGGCGTTACGCCGGAGCGATCGGATGCCCTTCCTTACCTTTCCCCCCGGGGATAATGGGCCGACTTTCGAAGTTGGCCTCGGCAACCACTTTGGAAGTCATCGCAGCGGTTGCCAGCGTCGCATCGCGGGCAAGCGCCTTGCGCTGGGCCGGGCGATTCACCAGTGCCGAAGCTGGTGCCTATCCTGTCTTCGGATCGGGGCGAATGCAGGCCATGGCCTACTTCATGGTGAAAGAAGTGCTGTCTGCAGCGCCTTCGGCACGCGCAGTCACGCGACCCCTCTCCTCGCAAACGGCCGACGGTTCCTCGCCTGGATTCGAGTTCAGGGTATTTCTCTGCGCGTTATCGTCGAGTTCCATGCAAGACATTGCGGTGGCGATCGTCCAGGGGTCTTGCCCTCGTCGGTGCGGTTCTCGGTCGTGTCCGCGTAAGAAAAACCGCGCGTCCAGCAGTCCATCATGTAGGTCCACGGTCAGAACTTGATCGGAGTGTCCTGGGTGGCGCGCCCCCCCCTGGTCAACCTGTCAGGATTGCCTGATGTTGCCTGGTGGTATGCGTGGGGGTTGATGACTTCTATGAACGATGCGTGGTGTTTTCAATTTTTCTTAGCATCGTCTTTCAACGATTTCTTGGGGCAGCGCCAGGGACCATATGGGCGCGCAGTCCATTCGCGTGGTTTCGGGATGGAAGGTCTCGCGGACCCACCCGCGCCACACCAGGCAGCACTTGCGATCTACTCCAGGCCAAGAGGAACGCTCTGAATCGAAAAGCAGAGCTCGCACATCACAATCACTACGGTTGGGTGGCAGGCTCCGTGAGCAACCGTCACACTTGTTTACTCGAGCTTGGTGCTCAGCGGATGCACATCCGTCGGCATCCGCCGCCGCGTCTTTGGGATAACATGAGCAAGGTCCTGATGAACAAGAGTGTGGTAGTCGTTAGAAAATGATTGCTTCATATTCTCGACGTCACCGGCAGGCGCGATGTCCGGAATATCGTGATCGACCCCATCGGGAGCCGAACCTAATGAGCATCTAAGCCCCTGGCTGGCTGTTGGATCGGTCTCGATACAGGTCCTGCTGTGTCAGTTCTTCTATGGTCCTACTCTGGAGTTCGTAAAGCTGGCCCTCCTGTGGGATCTGGAAATTCGCTGTACCTGAATCGGCGGCGATGGGGGCCCCAAATTGGTCCCCAGCAAGAGCCTCAAGGTCCATCGAAACGTCATCATCCGTTGCAGGAGTTCCTGGGCGTGGGGTGGGGTGGGGTAGGGTGGGGGGTGGGCGGTGTGCGTGTGTGTTTGTGTGTGTGTGTGTGTGTCTGTGTGTGTGTGTGTGTGTGTGTGTGTGTGCGTGCGTGTGTGTGTGTGTGTGTGTGTGTGTGTGTGTGTGTGTGTGTGTGTGTGTGTGTGTGTGTGTGTGTGTGTGTGTGTGTGTGTGTGTGTGTGTGTGTGTGTGTGTGTGTGTGTGTGTGTGTGTGTGTGTGTGTGTGTGTGTGTGTGGGGGCGCGGGGGAACCTTGGGGGTCTGGGATCCTCCATTAAGAGATGGAGCGCGTTGCTCAGACAGAGCAATCCAATATGTTGCGCCAACAATGACACGTCGTTGCCGAAGTCTGCTTGGGCGATCTCCCGGAGCAAGGCCGACGCGGAGCCAGTCCATTCAGCGACTCCCAACAGCGTGCCCTTGAATGTCTCAAGGCTCTGTAAGATGACCTTAGTGAAGCGCTCGTGTGGCGCTATAGCCTGTGGCGCTGTGCCCACTCGTTTGTCAAGCCGCAATTCTGGATGACTGTCGAGCTCGCGGGGTGGTTCTGGTTCAATGCCAACTCGTAGAGCACGTGTTGCTGGAGCTTGTTGTCCATCATCTTGTAGGTCTTGC